GCCCTTTAAGTGTATATTTTGTGGAAATACACGAGTCACATGGTTGAAATGAACTCATCATATATTTATATTTGACTACTCGATTTCAGAAATACTTTTGCTTACTTTTGACCAAAACACATTGTAGCAATGATATTCGCCACCATGAAATATAGCAATGGTTTTGGATAGAATGGTTCCCCGTTCTTGTCGGCTACAGCTTTCTGCAATCTGGGGAAAGCTTCATGTCTCACGAGATCTTCCAGTTTTTCACCACTTGCATAGTTTCTGTCAAATGTGAATTGTTATGATTACATTTTTCAAATGAGAGCGTATGAGAGTTTCACGTAAATAACTTTAAACAAATACCACGTTCACACTTGTGCCACAGAGCCGACTTGACTAACTTGGTAAACACTCGTTATCAGTGGTATTAATTGGTCCTGTGTTCATACGTGTATAAAGACTAGACCGGCGTAGTTATCGGCCGCCGTGTTTCTTTAAAATACTTGCAATGAATAGACCTCCAGAGCGAGGCTGACATTAAGGAGGTGATTTTAAGGCGGCATGGTTGTTCACACGTGCTGCAACCGTTTCTGTAAGAAAGAGGTGCCGGTCGAGACATTTTAGAACGTCTTAAACTGAATCGGCGTGACGCCGGCTTATCTTGTTCATAAGTGTTTCAACTATGAAGCTGGCCTCCAAGCCGGCTTGTTGGCACACGTGTGAACACGGTAAAATGAATGAGATGACATAATATTTAATTTGCAAAAAAATTTCATATTATATTTAAAACCAACAGTGCTTTTCGGCCAATTAGAATGATCTATCGGAAGACTGTCTATTTTAAATGCCATGTTTTATGTCTGACTCGCTACGCTAGGACATTAATACAGATCACGTGACATCAAAGATAAAACACTGACTAACAAGGGCGTTCTGATAGACACACTGCCCTTTAAGCAACTGGAACAGAATGTCGGTCATTGGCTTTGTGGTTATATGATGTTTCGAGTTTGATCATGAATATGATTAGCCCTTGATCCACGACGGTCGACAATCGGTCGTCGGCGCGAAAAATATAATGCACGGAATGAGCATGCGTACCCTAGCAATAACCCAACTTCGTTTTCCCGTGCACGACTCGCAAAATTGGAATTCTGGCAGTTACGAATTAGCGTTTGATTCAACCGTTTGATGCAAAATAGTTCACACCAATTTTCTGTGTATGTACCACATTTGGCATTGCAGGATCAGAGGCAGCGGCACCAAATTTTGCATTGGGGAGGGGGCGAGATCTGCTCACCAACCTTGCACCGAAGGCGCTACCTTACTACGGGTTCCGGGGCATGCTCCCCTTAAACATTTTTAAATCTTAACCCTCTGAAACGCTATTTCCTGCATTTTGAGGGACAAATTTTGCCAACACGAAGGGTTTTAGCTTGAATTTGGAGGGGCGATGCCCGCCAATACCCCCCCCCCCCATGCCGCCGCCACTGAGAATATATGGCGATGTTTGCGTGGGCAGACAACGACCGAATGTAAATAATGCCCACATTGAAGGAACGAATTACGTGTTGTGCATAAGTGATTTATTTGTGTATTTAATTATTGTAACGGTACAAGTTGATAACAGCCTACAGATATGATTTATGACCAAGAGGTAGACGTATTTAACACTATGCGTTGTATTGTAAGGGTGATTTCTATATACATTTAATTATACTATATTGGTGCCCATCAGTCTAATTATCGCTGTACATATGTTGCACGATTTATGTAACTTTAAACTGGATAAGAACCCGTGCACAAGGTGGTAACAATTATTATTGGGTGTTTTGGGTTAATATTTTATCTGACTCCATGACCTTATATTATATTGTCCACCTGTCACAATTTGAGTATGCACATTGTTTGAGAAGAATGATTTATTTCGAAAGGTCAAAGTTCACGCACACGCTTTACACATTGTGTAATAAATGCATTTGGATTTTTATAGCATTTACCATTTATTTGGAAATTGGGTCGCGGCCATTACAAATTTTGTGCAGAAACAGGTCAGGACTCACTGAATGCCTTTAAAGGTTTGAGAATTTCTCAAAATATATAGATGGTTTGGAACAATAAAAGGCTATATACAGACCTCCGTGATAGAATTTATGGAACTGCGAACTCTACATTTGATCTCGGATCGGACTTTATATCCCAGAAGAGTCCTCATGCAAACTCATTATATTGGCTTCAGAAAAGAGTAAATCTTTAAGTTAACAGTTCGAAAAATGGTTGTTTTTAGAACAAACAAATAACAACGTTGTGCTTGGGAATACACTAAATGAGAAGAGGGCCTTGGGTATTGTGCCTAAAAAACAACCTTCAAGTTTCTGCTGATATAACCTTCTTTTCATGCCGTTGCAGTAAAAACAAAGATATCGTCATGAACAAAACTGATCAGATATCAGATACATGGTAATACAACATCATTCGAATTATCTTTTGAATGAGAAGTTGAAAATGGACTTATTGAAAATTAATGAACTCAGTCAAGAAGCGATCTATTTAGCAGTATAAACTCTTACCTAATGGCTTGGTGTCCAACTTTACGAAGGAATTTCCACTTGGGGGTGAAGTCACCAGAAATAATGTTTTCACCGTTTTCGCTAAACAGGTTCTCTTTTGAAAAAAAAGAAAAAAAGAAAGTCGAACTATGGAGTTGACCATGAAACTATGAGATAGGAGGTGAACTACTATGCATTTTCACCTTTTTAAACATAATTGTGTTGTATTTGTTTGTTTTTCCATGTGAATACGTTATTTTTTGTGTAGAATTTGTATTTGAATGTATAATCTTGGAATAAGCAGACGAAGACAAGTAACATCTCCGCCAGTACTTCACTCAATGACATACACACTTCATGTCCAGCAAACGTTCTGCAGTTTTTCTAATTGCATTCACAAAAAATAATACTTCATATATCGGTCCACCATCACTTCGTACCATCACATCTAAACTTATACATACGGTTTTGCTTTCTCGTTTCAATGCTTCACATGCACTGTTTTTATTAAATTCGTTCACGCTGTACCTAGATTGAGTTTTGGTTACACTAATTCAGCATGGAACTACTATGCGTGATGCAAATAATGTGGGCGCATTTAACCGTTTGAGTTCGAACGCTAGTTTTTATTAAATAGAAACTGTGTTGAACTATTCTGAACATCGCGCGCACTGCTCATCAGGGAAAAAACATAATATTGTTACTTTGCATTCACTGGAAACATCACGTGGTCGTTTCGCTCTGCTCAGGTGTTACCGGTAGTAGGTTACATCTAAATCATGAAGTTAACGCAGAAAACAGCAAAACTGGTTATTAACACTTTACAAACATTTTCAATTGGGATGTGACCATCATTGTGTCGTTGGTGCACATTCAACATTAACATGAACATGATTCTCAGATTGTTTCTTGCTTGGTACTATGAATTTGAATCTCACAATGATGTTGATCGTAATTCGAATCGTATTATACAGAGGTACACTAGTATTATATCCACTCAAGGAGCTAAGATTGCCCTTCTATGATTTTTTATTTATTTTCAAACTTAACAAACAGGTTACACCTGCACTCTAGTGTACTGAAAAATTCTTTTAAAATTCTCGATCAACCGTTACCATGGCAACAGTTAAAAAACGATTTTTATACCTTCGCACAAAATGTATTCGCAAAATAAATCTTTGAGTTTTACTACTCATTCTACTTCGATTGAGTGTGTGCCCAAAGTTAATAATTTGTTTTTGAGTCGAGGCCAGTGCTTCGACTTCTTCGAAAATATGCATAACACCTTATTTCCAAATGACAAAATATTCTTCCATCAAGCATTCACATGGTCAAGTCTATAAAGAATTCAACTTTACCGAGTCTAGGCATTTTAATTTAATGAACGTTCAAGACCCAGAAAGTGTTCAATTAAGCATGTTCATTAAGCAATTGAAGTTCAACTTGGTCCACTGTTATTATTGTCAGGCTTAGTAGTAAACCTTTCAGCCTACTGGAATGTCTGTATGTATTAACTTTTTTGTGTCTTTGCCGTTTTTTGAAACTCGATAGGCTGGTCACACCTGTACTCTCGTTAGGTGACAACATTGCCTTGGCTATGGCCGAAAATGATTATTCGCGTTCCCAGTGGATCGCCAAACAGTCTGCCGGTTTGCACACCATACTACCAATACAAGATTTACCAATGGCGGAAATATTAATATTGGCTTACTCTTACCTGAGTAGTGACTAGTGCGTCCAGCAAAATCATTTTGCTTCTTAACCAGCGCTTCATTGATGACTTCAATGGTATTTAGTACAACATAGTTTGATGTACCAACCTTTATTGTGATGACATCTCCATATTGATTAGCATACTGCATAAATTTTATATGTGGATTTGTTGCTAGATCTAGGAATTTAGAAAAGTTGTATAAAGAAATCGATGAAATCAGTGTAATGGGACAATTTAATTATCCCAGAGGTGATTTCCATCTAAAAAATAGGCGCGTCCCTTACGTGAAAAAGAGAGAGCATGCTAAATTACACAGCTTAAAGAATGTGTAAAAAATTACCCAACATATTCCCAATAAATGGATAACCCATAGGACCAGGTGGGAAACCAGATGGTGGTCGAAGATTTAACAGTCCATATGCCACAAGGAATACGACCAGCAGAATCAATACATTTACTGGACTGGTGAAAATACCAAGAAACCATGACAATATTTCGACAATCATATTTGATTCTGAAAAAGAAAAGAAAATAACAAACAAATTAGATAAGGTTGTGTCGCAGTTTAACATTGATGCATATATTTTTTTTATTACAATATCATATTAAAAAAAAGCTCCATTTACATAATGTATCGTGAAACATATACTCTGAATAGGGCTCACGTCCAACCAATAAACACATTTACCTAATTTACATAGAGAATGTCTTACTAACAAGTGATAATCTCGGTTCAACTATCCAATGTAATACAAACATTCAGGCGCATTATTCTTGATCATTTGGCGATTTATAATGCCAAGGATTCATCTTATAAATCTACTTTTACTTTTTTTTGGTTCATTTGATGGACATGTACAACATGCACTACGACGATTCACATGCCGCATTTCATGTTCAGTCAACACTTTTTACAATGTACCCGGCAGTGTCTAATAGTGTCCCCATCTCCAGTTACGACAATTGTATATTGGTACATTCCGAAACGACTTATACTGTAACGATTGGTCTAAAAAAACAACTAATGAGTGCATTTTTGTCTGAATACAATAAGATTTGTGAGTCATGAATAAATATATCGATACGGAATGGACTGCCCAAATAGTGTTACCCAAGGCCCACGCACAACAATATTTTAGATTTACGTAACGGATAATTTGTATCAATATTTGTTTGACCCCCACTCTTTCAAGCATTTAAATTATCCTCGTGCAACTACTGTATGCGCCCTCTTTATTAAGTAGATTCGAATCGAGTTAAAGAATATGTGTTACCTTCGTTACTTAGTAGTCGAATTCGAGTGTATATGTCACCTTATTAATTATGAGTTTATGGCACCAAGTTCCAAAATTTAAAAAAAATCGCGCTGGTTTATTGTTGTGAAACCATTTCTTCATATCTCAAAATTTTACTGGGTTGCACGGGTTGAAAAAGTTCATTTCATTTAGGGCGTTTCCTCTGTTATAATAGTTCGTCGTTATATACACTGTAAATTCCTTCAGCAGGAGGCTCAAAATGCATAATCTGAATTTGGTTTGAACTGTACGTAAGTAGCTTTAAATACGCATTTCCAAGACACTAGTTTACATACCCGGTAGTCAGTATATTGTAGTTTTTAAATAACTATGTTGTGTAATGTTTTCAGTGTATTGTATAACACTTTTTATAATCGTGTTCATGGATCGTCTAGTTGCAAAACGCTTACGTAGCCTCTGAGTATTTACGTACATGTCACTCTGTCAATAAAAACGACACGCACAGCAGACGGTGACATTACCTACGCGTGGTTCAATTGATTACGAAACAGCAACACGGTGCCTGATACTTAGTAGTTCAGAAAGCAAAGCATTGTCATGTCGGCACATTGCATAGAAATGCATGCACTGTAATAGTTTTAAAAGCAACGCCTTATCAAGTAGGCGTGTTCAATTATTCACTGAATATATAGGTTTTTTTTAAATTTATTCACGTCACTTTGAACTTTGGATGACCATATGCTTTTAACGTTTACGTAACGAATGGTACAGTCCTATTGTTCAACAACAGACTCATTGGTAAACAACACGGAAACTTGTCTCGCCTTAACACCCGGGCGTTGATCATAAAAATTGTGGATAGCTGCCAGAATTCGAAACTCTGAAACCGATTTTAGTTATTAACCAACATTATACTGTAACAGTACAAAGATTTCCGCCGTTGATCGCGCGTCACTCACTCACCCCCTCACTCACCTCACTCCCCCCCCCAACCCCAACCCCAACCCCAACCCCAGCCACAGTACGTGTCTGCTCCAGGACACCACGCAATAAGTTACACAATGGAATCAGGGAATGGAATACTCAACGTCAATGTTGATACATAATAGATCACATAACTTGCCCCGGATAGTGACTTTGATACCAGCAGCAGTAGCAGCAGCAGCAGTAGTAGCAGTAGCACCTGTTGATTAAGTGCCGACTTGTATTTGAAGTGCATTCGCGACTGATCTGTCTGTATTTGTACGCATGTGCAGTAACCCGGTTACAATAGTTTCTCTGTCACAACTGGGTCTCACACAACAATCATCACCATTAAACTCCCCACACAGCCAATGGGGAATGTGCACACAGTTTTAAAAAGTGGCTTCTATTATACTAGAACCAAAATAAACAGATACTGGAGTCGTTCTAAATATACTTATTGATACAAGAGGTACATTACTTGGGGTTTGCAACTACCTCAGACCACTAAAGAACAGACTAACTACGCGGCTTTTCCTTTGGTCAGATGCGTGCCACGTTTGTTTTTGGGTTTAACTTTTCAATCCAATAAACAACCGATCGAACTAACGCGACTATAACTTAATACCGCGATATCCATTATTATTTCATCAAATCACACGAGATACTGCGAGATGTACACAGGAAGGAGTATTAGTTGGGTCTTAGTTCAATCATGGAGCTCCATGGTTCAATGACTTCAATCGCTTTAATATAGTTGCGTGAGCATATCAAGTTTTCAAACGCAGTGTCCACAAAAACTACGAATAGTCCACACAAAGGAACACTGTCGACGCCAACACCGCCATTTGACCTTTATAGAAAAAGTTCGATAAATGTTGGGAAAAGTCAAAGTAACGAGAAATATTACTATACATTTGCTCATTATGTATTCATAAATATCGTAGACGAAAGTAGGAAACATTAAAAATGCCGTAACTCATCCAAAAATTGACCGATTTGGACAGAAACGACGACGATGGAAAGGTCAGGACACATGTCATTTTCGGTTAGATCTGAAAGTATGCACTTGCGATTTCTGCACTAGAATGACATTACGAAAACACACGAAGCAGGTAAATGCGAGTACGTACGGGAATCTTCGGGTAGACTTGTGTCAATAAACTACCAGCAAGGTCTGCTGTGGTACGCAGAGTACTGGCGTAATCCCCAATTCACACCTAAAACAATAGGCGTTGCGAGTCTGTTTTTTAGTGGTCTGGGCAACTACGGTGACATGATACCAAGATCCCGTTACGCTCTCGCATAAGCGTTCCAACTCAGAAAAATGCGAATGCGCATGCCCGAGGTAACTAGAATACTGGGATGTCCAGGTGGATAAAAATAGCTTCTCGCGATATGACGGATTACGATAACTATACATTTTCTGTACATTTTAGATGCATTACATTTTTGCATTATGAATGTGGTAATACATGTTTTATTGCTTTAATGTACCCATGTTAATACTCATATTTTCATAGATCAAAATGGATGATACAATTCAAGTTGACCAATCAAGAAAAGGTATTGTGACATCGTTAGTTTTAATTGACTTATTGAGCGAATTATCCAATCAACAAGCGCCTCATTTTGCACAAGTGGACGGCTGCAGTTGCTATGTCACGTGACGATATGCACGCGTGTTATGGTCATAGAAAATATTTAACTTTTCAATCATTATTAAATATTTGAATTTTAACATGAAGGCTGGTGATCGGTATTTACACATTTTTATAAATACAAGTAAGGCCAAGGCTGTGTACCATTCACTGTAAATCATACAACAATTATATCTAATAAAGACGAGTCATTTTGAAATTGGAATTAAAATGGGTATGGATCTATTTTGCCGCAATGCTTCCGGAAATTCGAACGATGGTTCACGCCTAATTTACTTTTGGCCCCCTTATGCAGAGCAAAAAACTGGATGATGTCTGTCTGGGATGTGCGAGTCAAACATTGTACCGCCAATATCTCATCAACCACTGGATGTTTTGAAATATAATTTACGGTATTCTAGGAAGTGGTCTGACTTCATGGTAACCTAGCAACGTTAGGACTAAGAGGTTAAATACGTTAGTCTGTGCTATGAAAAGGTGCGCAAACGCTTATTACGGGCAAAGAAACATAAAACGTGTGTTAAATTTCACGATGACCTGTTTTTAAAACCCGGTCTAGACTTTTAGCTAACGAAGTGTGGGAACGCTTAGCTCTGGCTAACTGCACAAAACACCATTGTATTCAATAGTCACTTGGAAGATTTACATTTATATTCATAACTATTCATTTTGGCACGCAATGCTCGACAATCAACGCGAACACATCCAGAGATTATTTTCGAGAAATATAAGATGAGACTACTACCTTCTGTCATTTTGTAAAGTATAATTACTGAATTAGTATGATGGTTATAGTGTGTAACCACAGTACTAACAATATACCTTCCCGGTTACTGTTCACGAGTATAATTTGTAGATAAAGGCTTAACATGATAGGACAGTTAAGAAAACAAGGATAGACATAATAGACCGAAATTAACTATCTGCGATTGGATAACACTTTCTATTCGAATGTTAAATAACATTGAAGTATTAAAACAAAATACAACACTAAGAAATGTTTGTGAATAATACATAAATTTATTATTTACTGATCGCAATGTAACAGTACAAATGTATTCGACTGTACACCATGCAAACAACAGATATACTGCCTCCATCTAAAGAGGCCACTGCACCACATGGAAATGCAAGCAGATAGTCGTGGCTTGTCGCCGCATCAACTCCGAATGGCATGGCTGTGGCCGTCGCACGCGCATCAAATACATTGATTTTCACATAATGCAATGCGCACCACTAATGAAAATCATAAGTACGTGCTGTGAAATAAATACCGCCAGCGACTTATTTGAAACCTTCCAATCACAAAAGTAATTACCTAGTAAAAGCTTGGCAATGCCTCGGTTTGTACTTATTGTCAAATTCACCAACTTTGTTCATACGAGACCTATATTTTGCGCAACGATCATCTCCCTTTAATGGTACGTCAACCACGTTCTCATTTTTTGTTCTTTTTATCTTTCAACCCGAATATTCAATACGTGTTTTATCTTTCCAAACACCTGATATAACGCTTTGTATACCATGTAGCCTGTACAGCTTTCTTGTATTGATGTGGTGTAATGCAACAATCTATGGTTGTGTATGTTACCACTCCTGGAAACATCAATATTTGTTTTTTACTCGGACGCAATAGTTTGCTATTAATTATTCATGAGTAGGGGTGTGAAAGTAAACGCGACATTTTAAAGATTCATTCGATTCGATCGCACAAATGGATACTCTAACTTTTTTTTGTTCAACTGCGATACTTTCATCCGTGTTTAGTGAAAACAAGTCGATTTAAATATCCAATGTATAATTTATTAAGTAGTCTTTCAAAATTGCCAGGACCACAGAAGTGACGGTCACGAAGATAAGAGATGATGTATACAGCTGCACTCTGATTCGTTGTGAACACTGGTCTGTCACAGTGCAAGGCCTGTTTATCACAATTGAGAAGGCCACCCACAGAACTCACACTGGACAGGGGGTTCTTTCACCGCTAGTACGAGGTAGACAAGACGAGAGTACTGGAAATGAAACACAAATACACCAAAATATCGAGTTAAAGCTCCTGGCTTTAATACCTCTCAAAATAATTACAAGAAATAAAGCACAGAAAATACAATTAATAAAATCACTAAAATAAGGGATTGCTTAGGGAAGTGTGCATTGGTGATAACTCGCAGTTCCAGGATGTATTATTGGATGACAGTCAATGGCTTCTGCAACACAACAATGGAGAAATACAGGAGTCTTGCTTGCAGAGGAACGCTGGTATTCTGGAGGGCACCGCTGGAAGCAGGAGATCGCAGAGCAGTTCAAACAAGTCTCACAGAATGATGGTTGTAGCCTGTAATATCGTATCGTAGCAGAACACACAGGAAAGCATGTTGAAATGATTCACCCAAACTGTCTTTAGTCTGTCCAATTTATAGGCAGTGACACCATCTGGGTTTCCACATGAGCCAATCAGAATGTAATCTTGCTAGCAGCTGTGTCACGTAGGCAACTCAGTAGATCATAAACATCCTTTGTTATTCGAATAACAGCACACCTGGTGTATTCCAATTCTCCTTCCAAAGTTGTAAACACCCTTTGTTATGTAAATTACAAGCACACCTGGTAGAACCCACTGTCCTTCCAGAGTTGAAAATAAGTATGACCTGTCAATCACATTTATGACAGTTATCACAATACACACCGTTTCTTCCCGTGATTCCATGCACACTTCCATTTGCAGGGTTTGAGGTAATATGACAAAACATGAAGTAAAGGATGCTGACATAGTCAACATCTTTTAATTAGCATAATCACCGGAGTGATTCCGCTCCGGTTTTCACTCCAACGCAGATGCGTCCAGTCGGGATTTCTTTAGCAGTCACGCTAGTTTTTGCGATAACGTTAAAAAGGCTAAATTGACAATTGACTATATTTATAACTATATAAAAAAAAAAAGAAGTCCCGACTTTGCCAGTCTACTCCGATATTTTCGGTAACTTGATGCGGGGAAAATTAAAAAGATAAATACCAAAACGCGCATATGGACAATAGAAGTCAAATCGTTTCTCAACCCTGTGTTGAAAGACGGTGGTTTGGCGAAGCATTTTAATATATATTTTAAATCTATTTTATCCCATGTCATATTTATATAAGAGAAATAATGTGAGGTTATTATGAATGCCGAAATCCAAAAAGTTTAGAACAGATTAAGCAAAGTACCATAGGAGCTGCCATTTTTGTTTTCATTATTAGAGAACGCTTACGCATGAAAGTGTTCTATATTTGGAATTCGCATTTCCTAATATGGTAGGATGCAAATACCCAGCGCAATACCGCAAAATTACAATACGCTATAAGTTAAGGCGTTTAGGTGACTGATTTATTATGTATAATTCATGTAGGCTATTATCACATCATGTTAGTGAACTTGTTGATGACGCGCATGTGTAAACTTTAAAATGACGTCATTCGTTTCACGTTGCACTGTCGGTTTCACAATAGGAAAGTGTGTGTGAGGGCGGGGGATTCTGAGCTGAATATGATATGAAAATAAAACACAGCTGGCTCCCTTTGTGTAAAATGCTAGTTCTGGAAGATCATTCTACAAACGTCTGTCTTTCAAGATTAGTAGTTCACGCAAAATCTTAATCGGTTTCCTTCCTTGGATGAGCAATTACATTATAGGGGCGACAACGCACAATTAGATTCTCAAGACTTGGGCTTAAATTAGGCTTCTCTTTGCCAGGGGCCACTTTGAATGTGTAATTTTGGAATAAACAGATGAAGACAAGGAACATCTCCGATTTAGCCAATACTTCTCCCATACACACTCTACGTCCAGCGGAGAAAGGAAGAAAACTCTCTGGTTTGGGTAATGCTTTGCCATCTGCATCCAAGAAACGTTCTAAAAATAAAACAAAAAGCTGCTAGATTAAAAAATATTGTTACAAGTCACATAAAACAATATTCAGCTTACAATTATTTACTAAATTGGTACATTTTATTTGCATTAAACATATGACGTCACACTCTTACCTGGACGAAACTCGTCAGGATTTTCCCAATGTTTGTCATTCATATGTACATTCCACAAATTCAAGAAGACCATTGTGTCTTTAGGAAGGTTATATCCACCTGTCATTGGAAAACGATGTGGACCATTAACATGTATTTTAGTATCTAGTATTGGATGTATATTGTATGTTGGGGCAAACAACTACTACTGAAGGCGGGTATACCACGATACGTTGCACACCACGAGCGTTCGCGAGTAATAATATAGACTAAATACGTGCTGTACGCCCCATTGCGTTTTTAGGGTTGTCAAATCTAACGGGTTCACGAGCGAGCAACAGTTATTTGACGTCGTAATTCGGAAAGAACAATAATCTCATGTTTATCTTTTCTAATTCTAAATACCCTAGGAATGCAATGTTCTTCATTACGCTCTTTGTCCGTAACGCAAAAACTAGTTTTGCTGATTTCAGTTGACAGCATGGTGTTTCTTCTACTGTGTGTTAATCGCGTTTGAGGCCAATCTCTGAATATAAAAACCGTAGTATACAGTGTCTTTTGCCAAGACTTGCATAATTGTTTAAAAAACACGATCAGAACGACGTATTAGGAAAATTCTTTTCTAACTGTGCACTATTTGTGGTTTTTTAATATATTGTATGTAACTTTCGTCTGGATTTTGAAGCAAGATGTACACTCCACTGAGTAGATTGGTAGTCATAAATGATGTTGAAATCTATATCACTGTACTTTACGCAGGGTCTACTATAACTCTGATCGTAATGTCAGACTAAACTGGGCAGAGCTCCAGAAGGAGTACCTACACTTTATGCAATTTAAGTCCTATTCATAGGAGCACTGTCTTCACTAGCATTCAAAAATCTAACTAAACATACTGGATTCGAACCAGCGATCGCTCACATTGCTCACATAGTACAAATC